AGTGATCGTTGCATTATGTAAAAATTCCACTATCATTTTTATCTGTTTCGATCTGATTCGAATATGAAAAACTTTACTGTACTTCCACTGTTAAATCACAAATTTTTCAACCTGCCATATATTAATAACCATCCGCTATCCACTATCATATATTGATGTATGAACTATAAATCAACTGTTACACGTTAGTACGAATTAAACGTAATCGTCGTTTCATGACACAGAGAAAATTCAAATTTTACTAAAATCGTAATCAAAGTCGACAAACTTTCATCGCGATAGAAGGCGCCAGATACCGTTGCCGTGGTGTCTAGAAGAATGTCCTCGCGCCGCTATCGGTCCGAGAAGTGCCTCGAAATGTAACCGTTGAAAACACGACAGGACCGATTAAATCGCGAGAGAGGTAAGAAGCAAGAGAGCAAGCTTCTCCGAGCTACGTGGACACCGACGTTGGATAGAGGCGGTGGAGCGGCGATTCGCGGACGGACACGGTCGCTCGCGGATTCGTAGCGGGCCAAAGCAGGAACACGGGTTCGAAACAGGTTCTGGCGACGGCAGAAACCGTAGATCCCCGAGATGTCATTGAGGCAAATGGTAGGCGACCGGCTACGGCCGAGATTTCACTGTAAATGTCAAGCGTCGGCACATAAAACGTCCTGGCGATTTGAAGGAAAGTCGTTCGTGGCACAGGCGGAGGCTCGCTGTGTGCTTTTTTCGCGTTTTGTTTTAACTCTGTGTCGCCTTCCGACTCGTGTTTAGACACGAGGCTCGGTAACCGGCAAATATTCGACGAGTCGTGAGATTGCCAACGACGCAAGACATTTTCGATCTTTACACCCGATAAATGTAGGAAAACAAGTGCAACTTCGTGGCGATAACCCAAGCAACCAAGAGCGACTCGGTATCGGCAAAAGTGGAAAAGTTATAAATTCCTCCGACCACGCTGGAATCATTTTGTTCTACTCTGAAAGATCTCCTTCTCTGTCTTGTCCTTTCTTCTCGTATCTTTCTCTCTCCTTTCTTCTTTCTCCGATCGAACCTCTTTTTCCGTCTGCACCGTCTGCTCCACCCATTTTCCTTGTCACTCCCATTCGTCCTCCTCGTCCTCTTCGTCCTGTAGCTTTCTCTCTCTTGGCGAATACCTTCGCCAGACGGTAATGCCTTGAATGAAGTACGGTTACTCCACGCTCTAGTGTTTGGTATTTTATCAGTGACATTATTATTCCCGCGTCGGCGACGCTAGTTCGAATTTATAGACCGACAGAAATGTCTCCGTTGTTTCGCAATCGCTGTATTTTCGCGTCGTGGCACGAGGGACCACGTTCCACCGAGCCTCGTCGTTCGACTTCAAGCGTACACTGTTGCTCATAAGTACACGAACACTAAGTGTCCATTTCAATGGTCTCTTTCCTTTTTAATTTACTGTAGCTACAAAAGGTATTCGCCATTGTATTTGTTATAGTATTTAATCATAATAATAATTTTATATTATTTAATAGCGCTTTCGTATAATTACAAAAATCTGATATTATGAAAATGAAATGAATTTAGAACCTGATAAAGGAATTCTTCGTTAGAAAATAAGGGTATGTAACCACTGTATGTTTATAAAAATGTGAATTTGCATTTAATGAAGCATAAAATCGTACTAAATCTTTCCACCTGTATTTCTTCAACTAAACTCGATTCCATCAGAAATAAGCAAATGGCTGTGTTCGATCGCTTCGCGGGGAGACGCTTTCACAGCATAACGCGCCAACGAGAGTCATAAATTCTCGTTACGATATGATGACCGACGCCACGAATCAGTCGACCCCTATATCGATTAAGATAATAGGGGTGGTTGAATAATTATAACACTGATTTGACAGCTTAAATATACTCTCTATTTCCAACAACTTTCCCTCGAAGAATATAAGGTGATGTGTGACTGACAAGTTGAGATGTATTCTGTTGCTATCCCTTCTGTTGAAAGGTTGCTAGCAAGTAAGGTGTTTTCCGTGAAGCCAATATTTACACGGAACTAATAATGGCTGTTGCCCGCTCTTCATCACCGGTCGCTTGCAGGTGGAAGTGGCCGTTGAATATTGTACATGAGAAAATCCGCTTTTCCCATTTTTCCCTTAATGAGTAATAACTGTAGGGACCGTTTCGGCTTGAGAGATGTTTCTAACGGTTAAGGGCCTTTGACAGGAAAGTAAAGGATTGAACTTTATGGGGAGTCCTTAGGATGATTACTGATGTGAGTTAATATGTTTGTACAAGTGATAGCCATCTTGACCAAGGGGTGGATTGTGGTTTATGGAAAGGTCACACGACGAGACAGGTCGCATACTCTCGAGCTAGTATATACGTCAAGTACGATATATATAATGGGTACGAGCACGAACACACTCGAAGGACCAGGTTTCGGAAAGGTGTGACGCCTTGAATTTCGGAGGACAGCTTTGATTTAACGACGTTCATCAGGCTGAACGTTACGAGGGTTCTTCGCCCCTTGTCAAAACCGTTCCCCTCGTAGAAATCTCACCCACACAACTAGCACTCGCGTATACAAAGAGAAAAATCGTCGGTTTACGGGGTCTAACCGTGCGTTCGGCTCGCCCTGCCCAGTGCAGCTGTTTGCGAGCTTTTTATATTCCACTTTCCATCTCGACGGCAGGAAGATTCTTTCGAGACGCATTTACAGGTTTTTTTACAGGTTTACTACTTAAAGTTTAAATCTTGAAACGGGGTTGATTACACTGGTATCCATTATTAAAATTCTTCGCCATCGATAACGGTTATCGATAATAAAAATAAAATTCGGATCTTTTATATTAGTCAGTGGTAACCAAAATTAAATTTCCCTCACCGATAATGATCACCGAAAATCGAACAATTTTTAATCATTTATAATGGTTATCCGTAACCAAAATTTGTTAATTACAGGTATTAATTCTTATACCATAACTTTTAAAATTTATCTTACAATAGTTATGATGTCTGGATTAATCAGAACCAGAATGGCTGAAAGATAATGTTGTGTTGCATGGCGGGGAACTCTTAGGCAGAACGTTCGTTTTATCTCCACGGAGATCCAACGCCTTATTTCTTTCAAACAGATAATACTAAAAGGCAACGTTCCAAATTCTAATGCTTTCTACCTAATTACAAGAATCGGGGATCATATCTAAACGATTGTGCAATTGTATCAGTAAAAAAACCCGACATTTATCTATTCGGTTGTAACTCAATCGTGACCCCAGCCACCGGTTATAAACAACGAACTGGAAGAAAAAAATCGTCGATAACCGTGGAACATGTTCGAAGGGGTCCAGCGGCTCGTTCGGACATGGCGCGAAACGCTTTTCCAGGCTGAGCGCCCGTGCCATCGTCGAGAGCCCAGAGCGTTCCCCTCGTCTCAAAACGCAATCGTTTTTGCTGCCGGTCCGGTTCTCCTCTGGCACCGACCTACCGGAACGCGTGGAACTCACCCAACATCCATCGAGGACCGGCTACGAAGTGCTGGAATATCAGCGATTCTCGATGTGCCCGTGAGCAACCGAGAACTCACGACTCGCGACTCACGGCGACCAACGGAATGAATCGAGATGAGGAGGGGGGATGTTCGAAGCGCGGTTGTTGGGGTAGCTGTGGGGAGGTTCCACGAGGG